TTTTTTTTTTTTTTTTTTTCAAAAAAAAAAAATTTATTTATAAATATATTTACAATTATAGAAAGGAAGAGTTATCTAGAATAACTAGAATAACAGATAAACCCTTTTTTATAAATCAAAATTGGTTAGAATGTTTAATATCATAATATAAAAAAAAAAATTTTTTTTTTTGTAAAAAAAAAATGTTTTTCCCTGGATAAACAAACAATATCAAAGAATTTCAATGGATTTCCCCTCGTGGAAAAAAAAATAAATTATCATGAGAAGGTACATAAATTATATTAAAAATGAACCCTTAATAATCTTTAATAATCATTAATATTCGTTATTCGTACGACAAAGACGACAAAGGGAAAAAATAATAATGCGATAACATAAAAAACCTTCTTCTCTGTAAGAATATTTATTTATTTATTTATTTATTTTTTGTTTATTCTTTTTATTAAAAAGGGTTTTTAGTTTTTATCTTTTTAAAACATACATACTGACATACATACATATCTTTTTTTAAAACATACTGATACATACATAAAATACATAAAGAAAGAAAAACCCAAAAACTGTGCCTAAGTTGCGTTATTATGTGGGGTAAAACTGTAAAAGCCCACAACCATTTTTAAAACTTCTCATTTACGCACTGTACCGAATCTATAAATATATATATATTTTAGGTAAATTTATTATTGGTCGGTCTACAACGGATCGAGAACCGTTAAAATTGATATGCAAAATGCCATGGCGGTAAATCGTTATGAGTGGAGTAAGTATACAACAACTGATGTACATATTATATTAAACACGAGGGAACATTCTTTTCGCATTTCTCTGAAAAATTCTTTTGATATAAATAGTAATTATTTTTTTTTTTAAAGAAAAAACATTTTGGTGATACAAACAGATTGATCAAAGATGTTCGTTACCCTAGACATTTTTTGTTGTACATAAAACTGTTTTACCAGGTTTTCAAACCCGAAACAAAACACAAAAAAAAAAAGGTTTTTTTTTTCCTTCCACATAGAAAATATTAAGCACGTGAAGAAGTAAATTTGTTTTATTTGATGAAAAAATAGAACAATGCAGGTTATTTTACAAGTATTCATTTTATTTTTCAGGTGACTAACCTCGTATAACAAATAAGTTTTATTATATTAATAATACTTTTTTTTACTTGTAACACTATAACACTATAACACTATATAACACTATAACAGTAAATTACTATATCAGTTACAGTATATATGCATATAACAATAAGTTTAATTATGCTTATATGCTATTCTTGAAAAGATATCGATGGACGATGATGGTTTAACTAAATTAAGCAGTTATTAAATTTTTTTATTGGGTACTTTTTAAAAAAATTTATCCGATTTATTCGTGGTACAAAAAGATTATTTATTGAGATGTTTAAATTTGGTATAAATTTTTATTTTATTTTTTTTTTTTTTCAAAAAAATTATTCGCACGGAAAAGATTAAATAATGATCTACCAAATATAATTTTTTAACAAACCGGCAAAAAAAGAATAATATTAATTTTTTTTACGGTTATATTCGCGCCGTTTTAAAAATTCTGGAAAATTCTGTAAAAGAAAATTTAAAAACATTAACATATGAATTCATCATTTATTATTATTATTATTATTATTTTGTCTCTCTCACTGTCTCACAAACTATACAATTATGATTCAAAATTCACAAAAAAAAAAACCAGTTATATTAGTTATATTAAAATTCATGATTGAAATCAAGAATCGAAATAAACTTTATCCTAAAAATTGGACCTCTGTCAAAAATACGCGAAAAAGTGAAAATTCGTACTAAAATAGTTTTTAATTTTTTTAATTGAACCATTCACCTATCATCGATTGATAATATTTACGCTAAAAATCAAAATAACGTCATCTCATCAATAAGCCACTAAATTAGTTTATCATCTGAGCAATAACCAACCCCTTAGAGGCGTAGACTAATGATAGACTCAATTCATAAAGCCACACTTTCTTTCCCCTATTTCTTATGATATCATAAATGTCATAAATACGTCAAATTACGATCTAACAACCAAAGGTAATTAAATTATAAAGAGACGCGTATGACATAATATCAGACAAGAGGGTACGAATTATTTGACAATTAATTGAATTATTGTCACGTGAGCACGCGTTTAAACAATTAAAGATCACGATTTACCACAGTCATACCTTTTCTCTGGATCTACAATTCTTATATACCAAAAATAGGTTTAGCCCCAGTGTATTACCAGTAGTACGACTATTTAGTTCGGCCACATCGGGCCACGCTTAAAAAAAAAAAATTGAAAAAAAACAATATTCATTAAATTATATTGTGATATTCCTTTCAAAAGATTACCAAGAGGTTACCGAAGAGTACCCGTGAAATTTTTTTAATTTTGAACAATAACAGGCGTTTTTTTGATTGAAAGGAAAAAAAAATGAAATTTTAAAGTTATCAGTTTGTAATACTCAAACTTCAAAATTTTTTTTTTTTCTTTTACATTTTTAAACCTAAAAATAAAAAAAAAAAGAGTAAATAAATAAATAAATTTTTTTTTATTATTGTTTTATTAGGTGTGCGGGGTAATTTTAATTGTTTGTACTAAATTTTTATGGTCTGGGTAACTTTTTTATGAAGCTGTCAATTTATTTCATTTTAACATTTTTAGGTTAAATTAAAAAATGCTATTACATTTTATAAACGTGGAAAACTTTTTGAACAGACAAGTTAAAATCATGAGAATATTTTTTTTTAATATATGTATGTGTTATATGTGTGATGTAGATTAGAATACCAAAATATACCCAAATATATGATACCAATATTGGACATATATATATATCAAAAAAGTAACATATTAAAAGTTTCTTTATACTAATATATCAATATATACCAATCATACCAATCATACTACCTTTTGGTGTACATGCGTTAAGGCAAAAAGTATTATTACTTTGTGGAATGTTATTCATGTTATTCATTATTATTATTCAGCTGAGGAT